CACTGCTTTAAACTTTAAAAAAAAAAAAAGGAGGATTTAGATTAGGTGTTAGGAAGAAATTCTATGCTCAGTTCTAGTGAAAGGTGACCCTGCCCATGGCTGGGAGAATGAAGCCAGATGGTCTTTGAGATCCCTTCCAACCCAAACCTTTCTGTGGCTCTGTGAAAGCACAGCAGCAGGATCCCTGAGCCCTTCTCCAGGCAGAGCACCTGATGTCCCACACACACACCAGCACTGAAAGGTGATGTGAAGCCAGATCCAGCTTAGCTGAAATGTCCTTCAGGGTCTGCAGCTCCAATCTCTGCTCTGGGACAGGGACAGGAGCCAGGGAAGGGCTGTGACAGGGCAGGTCAGGGTGGATTTTGGGAAAGGTTCTTGCCCAGAGGGTGCTGGCACTGCCCAGGCTCCCCAAGGAATGAACGGGACACTGCTCCCAGGGAAGCCCAGGGTGGGATTTTGGGGCTGAGCTGGGCTGGATGATCCCTTCCAGCTCGGGATATTCCAGGATTCAGTCCCAGAGGCTGAGGTGGGAGCAGGGCTGGGGGTCCCGGTGTCTCCCCAGGTCCCCCCATGGGTGGCAGCCCCAGCAGGTCCCTGTCCCCAAACTGGGGATTGTTCCCAGCACGGATTGACTGCCTGCCCACACAGGCAAGCTGGAAAACATTCCAATAGCCTGTCTTCTCTGCTTCATCTTGACAATTGGTTTTAATCAGTGTTATCAGCTGCTTAAAACACTTCATTCTCTGGAGCACTGCAGCTTTCAGCCTCCGGGAGATTCTTGGACTGGAGGTGCAGGGTTGGTGATGGGATCAGTTTTGTTTCAAACCAGCACAAAAGGAGAAAGCCTCTTCCCTCCCACCCCACCGCCACAATTTATTTGGATTTTTTTTTCCCCAAAAAAACCACTCGAATAAGCGAATCATATGACCGAGTTATTTTGATACTGTGATGCTGTTTATTCCTGGCTTGTCAATAATTAATTTCAATCTGTTTCTAAAACAGAAGTGAAGGGCATAATTGACTGGGATCTGTTAGGAGTTGTCCTGCCATCTGCACGGGCTGAAGCGAAGCAGTGCAGCATTTAAAGGCATTAAAGGAAATTAAATGCTTTTGGATTAGTGCTGACTTCTGATTAATGTTTTAGAAAAGGATGTGGTAACAGCTGGAAAGGCAGAGATCAAATCATCCCTTCCCTATTGTCCTGTTTCTGTACAGAGACACGTTATCGGGTTTACTCATAAAGTAGCTTATCTTGTTTTTCAGGTGCTTAAGACCTAATGATTTTTTTAATGCTGAGGAATAATCAGGGAAGCAGAAAAGAGGAGAGGCCAATGACAGCTTGTTTGTGGTTATAAAATACGGAGTTACAGAGGGAAAAGCCCTGGCTGGAAACAATCAACCCAGCCCTGAATTCCCCACACCCGAGGGAATGTTAAAGCAAGAAAACTCTTGACTGTGAGTTTTTCATCTCAGGGGTTTTCCCCTCTGTGCTGCACTGGGAACCAGGGAATGTTCCTGCTCTGCCCCCATGACTGATCTGTGCTCCTCGACTGCCGCAGAAAATATGCAAAAGCACTTGAGTTCATTTAGAAAAGTTGGGGTGTTTACAGGAAAGTGAAAATTGAGCTTGAAAGAGTAATTACCCTTCTTTTTACTTTCACACTAATGACTATGCAGAAGATCTTTTTAAATATGTCCATATGTGGGTTTTAAGCATTCATTCCCCATCAGTATTTCACCTTTTTCCTTAAGTGATTTCTATATTCCTGCTAACCAGCAATCATTTTGCCTGAATCTCATTTCCTCATAATAGCAAACCCATCAATCTCTGCTTTATTAAAGAGGGAAGCAAGCTTGGAAGCCAGAACACTCCGATTTGATAAAAGATGTTATGCAAACCATTGATTTTAATTTACAGCAATATCCACTTCTTCCATTATTAACAACTTGGAATTACTAAGGCTGAATAATTAACATGTTCTCCTGATGATGGATCATTCCAAAGGCAGAAAGAACCCAGATGAAATCCCTCCTGCACCCCAGTGAGGCATCTGCCTGTTCCATGTTCCCCAGGGAGCAGAGTGGAATGGTTTTGGAAATCAGGCAGACCCCAGCTCAGGGAAGAAATGATGATGTCTGCTCCAGATCAGAAGGCTGAAGGATTGCTTTATTAAAATTATACTCTATTACATTAATACACTATTTAAAGACAGACTATCCTGTTCTACATAGTTACTTTTTACTTGCCCATCTAACTCAAACCCGTGACTCTGCTGAGAGCCCAACACAGCTGGATCCATCCACTGACCCCAAACAACTTCACCAAATCCAACCCAGCCATCACTGCAGGTGAACAATCTCCAACCACATCCCACATGGGCAAAACCAAGGAACAGAGATAAAGATTGTTCTCTCTTCTTCTCTCTGCTTCTCCTGAGAGACAGAATTGTGTCTCTGTCCAGAGAATGGGAATGGCACAAAATGGCATGAGGGAAACACTCCCAAAAGTGATTTCAGAGCTAAAGTTCCTCTCCCAGATGTTCCAGGGGGAGCTCCTGCCCTGCTGGGCTCTGCTCAGAGCCTGGGTGATGATCACGTCTGCCCAGGACAGGGTGGGAAATGTGGATTTAAAACTCTCAAAGCTAAAAACAAAAAAACCCTGTCAATGTCTGGAGAAATGTCTGGCTCAGGGCTGCACTCCTCTGGCGTTTCCAGAGCTTGTTTGGATGAGTAAAACTCAACATTTCTGTGTGCCAGGACTTTCTAATTTTTTTCAGCTTTTCTCCAAATCAGGAGAGCTCAGTGAGATAAAGTGTAAAAAGCCTGGGATGGTGTTTAGTACATAAAAAGTGACCCCAGGGCCAGTCAAGGTAAAACAGGAAAACAGTTCCACTTTTCAATTACCTGAGCAATCTCACAGCATTTATCCTGGGTGTCCAACACCAGCCCTGTAGGCTGAGAAGAAATTTCCCTGCTGAATTAGTGTCAAGTGTTTAATGCCAGTTTATCTCCAGCCACATTTGATAACAGGAAAAACCCCATTTTCACCTGTGTAATGTGAAGTCATACAAGCAGTTGAAGGTTTAGGATACAGTTTATTCAGGCTATATCATTAGAAATGGCTTTAGGGGGAAAATAACTCAAAATTTTGTAATAAAATCAGGTTTATGAGGAATTTATTGCATGCTGGGAATTTATTTCCTTCCTACTTTGCAAGCTGTGAAAAAAAAAAAAAAAGAAAAACCAAAATCTTTCTTTGAAACAGCAAATTATGTGTAGAAATGCAGATTTAAAATATGGCTGACATTGGAGGGGGGAGTTTGTGTTATTCTTCCTTTTTCTTTTCTTCCTCTTTGTTAACTGAAAGAAATTATTGATCTCAGTAGGGGAAAATTAGGCACTTGGAATAAAAATTATTTCCTTTCCCTAACTCTGGAAAAATTACTAAGTAAAGAAGGAAAAAAAAAAAAAAGGAAAGCCAGACTGTTTTGTGTTTTCTCGCACAGAGTGAAGGGAAAAGAGAAAAAGGCAAAACAAAAAGTGAAGATGTAAAATGCTTGTCTTGAGGAAAGTTTGAACCCATTAGTCCTCGTCACATCACATCAGGAACTGCAGTGACAAAGAGTGATGGGTTCAGACTGCAAAAGGGCAAATTGAGGTTATTACAGGTAAGAAAAAATCCTTCCCTGTGAGGGTGGGGCAGGCACAGCTCCCATCCCTGGCGTGGCCCAGGCCAGGCTGGGCAGGGCTTGGAGCACCTGGGAGAGCAGAAGGTGTGCAATGGGATGGGTTTTAAGGTCCCTTCCAACCCAAACCATTCTGTGATTTTGTGACACTAAAATCTTGGGGAAAAAATTGGGAAAAAAAAAAAAAAAAAAAAAAAAAAAAAAAAAAAAAAAAAACAAAACAAAAAAAAAAAAAAAAAAAAAACAAAAACACAAAAAACCCCAACAAAATACCCCCCAAAAAAACCCCAACAAACCCCAAACCCCCCCTGCCAAAAAAAATAAACAACAAAAAAACCAAACCAAAACGCTTCTGCATGGAAAATAACATGATTTATTTGTGTGTAAAGAGCACAGAAACATTTTTGTGCAGAGGCTCTGCCACCCCTGCCAGTGCCACTGCAGCTCCTTTCCTTTTGTTATAAATAACTGTGTAGTTGTTGGCTTTTGCTGTTGTGTATTAAATTTTGCAAACTGTTATTGATCACAACGATTTTGATGTACCACAGTTTGTAATCACTGCTGGACTGGTTTTAATACAGTATAATTTTGCTACAGATTATTTTGGATCGGTTTTAATACAGTATAATTTTGATACAGATTATTTTGGACTGGTTTTGATGCAGTATAATTTGTCAACTATCATGGCCAATGCCCTGGCCATGTGTAGCTTATCTATGTATTAGTGTGATAAAAATATATTGTAGTTTAGGCTTTCACAAAACATTAAAATAGCGACTGTGTAATGTTAGCTTTTGCAGAATACTTTTATTTTTGTAACTGACAATAGTGAGAATAACTGAAATAAGTCTGTAGAAATAGCTAAAACTGTCTCTATGATTAGACAACACTGAAGGAATCACACAGGTAACATTAAAATAAAGGGGGTAAAAAAGACTTCTGCTACTGACTTTGCCACTATCAATAATCCCCCATTTGTTGTTGTGAAGAAGTGGCATACATACAAGAAATGGCATATAAAATGTGAGGAAATGGCATACACGACTCCCAAAACTCAAATCTGCACTATTGTGTGACGGGTCAGGAGTCAAACAAAACTAAAGAATTCCCAGAACAAGTAAAAGAACTCAAAGGAATATTTGAATTGTATAATTTCATAAATATGCGTTTGATCAGTGCAATGAAAAAATGCATAAGGAAAGTGGTTTGAACTAACTGGCGCGCTCTTGGCAATTTGTCCTTTTATCCCTTGTTAAAGTTTGAAACATTTTCAAGTGTTTCTCCCACTTCTGCCTCTGTTTCCCTCGCTGGCAGTTCGAGTGAGGCCTTCGGCATCGCGGAGAAGATCGTGCTGCTCTCCTTCATCTCCGCCGTCATCCTGATGGCCATCCTGGGCAACCTGCTGGTCATGGTGGCCGTGTGCCGGGACAGGCAGCTCAGGTGAGCCCCCAGGGATGTCGGAGCTCAAAATGTCCCTCAGACATTTTTGGAGGTTCCAGGCCCAGGTCAGAAGCATTTGAGACCCTGGCAGGCAGCTGGAAACAGCTGTGATTTTGGGTTTGAGCCATGGAATGAGTTACCAACCTTGCAGGAAGAACAAGAAGTCACAAAATTTAGATGTTAGAGTAGAAGTAGTCATAAAGTAAAGGGAAGAATTTTTGAGTGGTGTACAGGGGGGTTTTAGGTCTTGTACAGGAGGGTTTTTACTTTGTACATGGGGGTCAGAGGTTTTAAGATGGATTTGGGATTTGGGCCTGCCCTGTCCTCCCTCTTTCTCCTTCCTCACCTCCATGTTCTTGGTGATGTTGGCACTCACAGATTGGTTT